CAAACTCCCTTGACTTTCAGAGCACACTCACTCAATAACTGCTTTGACTCCTTGCAGTAGTTCTGGGAGATTGGTATCTCACACCCATTTTACAGATGAGGAGACTGAGGCTGAGGGGAGGGAAGGAGGGAGGGGACCGGCCCCAGGGCACATGGCAAAAAAATGGTAGACTGGTACCCGGGTCTTCTGATGCCCCATCTTATCTTCCCACTTGCTGGCTTCACCCTGCTCCCGCCCGGGGGTAAGCCTACTCGGGTTCTCTTTAAGATGTTCTTGACGGTCTTTGGATGCAGGATACAAGGTGGGGAAGGTGACTGCGTCCTGCCGAACTGCCGGGCAGCTCTGCGATCCTGAAGGGCCGGCAAGGAGCAAAGCTGAGGGTCAGGAGGAGCTTTCTGGAGGATAGCCGTTCACAGGGGAGGGGGTGCTGGGGCAGAGGCTGCGACAAAAGGCCAGGGACGTTTGGGCCCTGGAGTCAGCAAAAATGACCGCCTCCCTGAGGCACGGGCTACCCAGAATCTCCCCCCTGTGCCCTTACTACCAGGCTGGGCACCCTGGGCTCAAGCTCTCAGGTATAGCATTGCCCTCTCTGGGCTCCCCTTCGCCAAGGCACGAAGTCCCTACCGCCTATGTCTGATGACTTGATCAGATCTTGTGATCCCTTGGTGAGAGATACGGGTGGGGAACAGGGCAGGTGGGAAGATGGAAGCCTTGACCAATTCAAAGGGAGAGATCATGTCCAAGGAAGAGAAGACGACCCTCAGGGAACCCATGCAAGGGCCTGGGGGTGGGAGCAGCTGACGAATGTGGGTCAGGCGGGGCCCTTGCGGGGTGGGGTGGAGGCAGGAAGGGAGCGCAGGCCTTTGAGGCCGGGGCAGGCGGTGAGGGAGGGCACCGTGGACCGGCCCACTTTGACGCTCCAGTTAATCTAACCGGACTCCAAAATTGGCTAATTTCTCCTGCCCCTGCAGCTTGGCCGCCAAACTGCACAGATCCAGACCTGTCCCAGGGTCCCACCCCAGGGCCCCGTCCTGCCCCCTCATTGGTCAGGACCCCCTGGCAGCTCACGGGGCAGCTCAGAGGTAATCACTGTATGGCACTTCAAAGCCACCAAGCCAGCTCCTAATGGAGGGCAGCGGGTTTCGCTTACCTTGCCCGGCCACCTGCCCAGGGCAGATGGGCTGCAGCGGGGGGAGGCCCGGCAACCTCCTCCTCTCTCCCCTCCCCCTCAGAAATTGTCATCATCTTGCCCATCTCCTGTCACCCCTTCTCCGGTTGGTCTTTGGAACTGGGGGATAGGAGAGGCGATTTCCCTAAAGCAGGAAAAGGGAGCGCTCACTGAGTGAGCGTGAAAAATCCTACCTTGGATCAGAAGACGAAGATCAGCGCGCCCCCCCCCCCCCGGCTTGCCTCCACCCATCTACCTGTGCCCCCAAGCCCAGGTTCTCTGAATGCGTGTCAGGAGGGGGGCACCTGAGTGGTAGGTAGAATCGAGGGGCAGAGTACAGCTGCTCTGACAGGCAGGTTCTAGCTCCCCAACTTCGGGTGAGGACCAGAGGGGTGGAGACGGAGGGAAGGAGGGACCAGGACCTGAGGGTTAGCAGTGGGGAGTTGGAAGGCCTTGCGCCTCACACTGGCCACTTGTGGTACCTCTGCTTCCTTCCAGGGGGTCCTGGGACGGATGGCTTTTAACTGCTTCAAGCCTCAATCTCTTATCTGTGAAATGGCAATGCCAACATCTCCTTCATGGGAGCATAGTGGGGGTTAAAGGAGATGGTGTGTGGCTCTCCCCACCATAGGATGTCTCAATAGATGTGAGTTCTCATTGTCTGGTTGGGGAGGCAGGCTGGTTTCCCAGTGACTGCTGGGGATGCGCGCAGGGAGCTGTGAGCAACATCATGCGTGGGGTTGGGGGGTGCTGAGGTGAGGGGACCCAATGGGACGGGAGGACAGGGAGTGTGTGTTAGGAGCTTGCCTTCCTGAGGGGGCAGGGTGATGGAGGGGTGGCAGGGTGCATGGGGGAGGGCTAACCCCCCCCAATTGGACTTCTGAAGATACAATTGGACCACCCCTGCCACTCTCAGCCCCATGTAGAATGGCATTGACATTCTCCACCCTCTCCCCTTAGGCTCACCGTTAGTCCAAGAAGACTTGGAGTGTGTGTGGTGGGGACAGGGCCCTCTATACGTGCAGCTGTTATGGGAAATGGTTCTGGAGGATCCTCCAATGAAACAGCTGCCCCCCCCCGCCCGCCCGGCACTGCCTGTCTGATCTCACTTGCTGGTCAGCTCCTAAGGGCCCACTTCTCATGCCCCATCCCACAGCCATGGCTGTAAGTGCCGAGGGTTGGGGACAGAGAGCCGAGGCAAGGGAGAAATTTTTGAAAGGCACTTGTGTGTGGGGTCAGGAGTCACAACCGTTAGGGAGTTAGGCTGAGGCCACCAGTGGCTCCGTAGGGCCTCCAATATTGTTCCAAGGCCAAGGGACAGACCCAAGTATCCCGCACTCATTAGGCACAGGAATCCCTGCTGGGTGGGGTTCAGATGCAGGACGGCAGGTGGTGGCAGTGGTGGCCATGGCCTGGCGGTCGTGGTGTTGATGGTGATGGTGGTGACAATTGTGGGGTGCTCACAGTAGTGACGCAGAGGATTGTGGGTGTGGTAGTGATGGTGGTGGTGGCGTGGTGGTTCTGGTAGTGATGCTGGTGTCATGGTGATGGTGGTCACAGCGGTGATGGTGTGGGTATAGGTGGCCGTGATGGTGACAGTCATGATGATGGTGATGGCCTCCGCAAAGGAACATCCTGATCACAGCCATGCTCTTTATGGCACGGTCAAGCCAAGGTGTCACATTATAAAATAATACTTCACATCAAATAACCAGCACCCTGGAACATCAGCTCCACGAGGGCAATTCACCGCTGTATCTCCAGCGTGGGGCACACAGTAGGTGCTCAGTAAATGTGTGCCAAATGAGTGCAAAGAGATCAAGTCTCTCGTGGTGATAAACACTATGTTACCTCGTTTGTTCTTTACCATGCTCATTCGAGATCTTTCTAAAGACACTCCCACTTGATGGATGAGGACACTGAGTCTGAGAGCGATGACATAACCCAGCTAAGACGTGGTGGGGGGAGTAAGTGATGGGGGGGTAGAGTATGTGGGCATTTATAGCTAGGCCTATCTGACTCTCAGTTTGGTGCTCTCTCTGCCCTAGCACTTTGCAGCCGCTCTCCCCACCAGCTCTCAGCATTCCATCGTGGTCTTGCGCTCGGGCTTAATCATAGAAATACTGCTAATAATAGTAACAATTGCTGTTTGTAATTGTTCGAGTAAGGCTTAAATGATCAAGACCGTGGAAATTATTAATAACCCAGGCCCAGCCATGGTAGTGTGGGTCATATTAAATCATGTTGAGATGGATAACCTTGGCAATAATAGTAACCGGGATCATAAATTAATAACAGGAGTATTTAAATTAATGCCACACTGTCGATACCCTTGGTAGTAAGCAGCTCGATGCTGCTGTTAGTACTAACGTTGGCCCTTCCTGCTTTCCATGAATTCAGCGGAGAGGAGAGGCAAGGATGTAAAAGCTGCTGGAAGGAGGAGACAGCTTAGAGGTGGTCCCTGTCAGGGAGAGGGGCTCCTCAGGGATTTCTAGCTGCCTGGCCTTGGAGGTGGTGAATCATTCACACTCATGCTCAAGGACACAGTTATGTCCACCTGTTTTTTTCAGAGGCTGTCCCCTGGACTTTGTTGGATACACAGGAAAGACATTCGCAGGGCAGATTCGCCCCCCCCCCATTAGCTTCAGCTGATCTAGGGAATCACCTACCAACTGCTTAGATGCTCCCTTCACAAGCGCACTTGATCTCCCCCTCTTCCTGTAATGTGGGAGGGCAGTACTATTTTTTTCTAAGTCAAAACTGGGGTCCACAAATGGCCAAGATCAGGGTGTGGGGATGGGCTTTGTAGACTTGCCCCTTACAAGCTCTCTGTTCCATGGCCTCCTTGTCAGGGGATCAGGAAACTGTGGGGACAGGCAGGGAGCAAGCACTGAGGTGGGGGTGCTTCCCACCGAAAGACTGGTGGTACTCTCCCTGGGTTGCCAAGGGCCTGTGATTGGGACCTGCTCTGGTTTCTAGGGCATAGTAAGTGTGGTCCTGGGAATGCTATCATAGTACATGGTACATGGATGTGAGTCCATCCAACCACTTTTCCTTTTATTCCCTTCAGGCCTTTATTGAACACCGGCCGCGTACCAGGCATTCAGATGAGGAATCATAGTCCCTGTCTGCAGGGAGCTCATAAGCCAATGGAAATACAGTCTAGTGAAGGCTATATTGTTGAGGATATAACTGTATGTTTGTGTATGGGTGCACGTGTTCATGAATGTGTGTGCACTCGTGTGAGAGACTACGTGTGAGGGCTTGTGTGGAGGTGACTGCACATGTCACGTGCATGTGTGTTTGAATGTTACGACCACATGTGCAATGAGTGTGCAAATGCGCATGAGTGTGTAGGTGCACATGCATGTGTAGAACGCACAGGCTTACACGAGTGCATGAGGGGGATGTGAACACATGTAGTGCGTAAGCGCATACATATGTGAGCTTGAGAGTGGGTGTATTCCTGTCTTGTGTGCACACCTGTTACCCCTTCAAACCCATCTTTTGGGAATTCAAATAACATCGGGATGGACTCCACCTTAATGTCCCTTCTGCACACGGTCGGGGTCAGGCCACCTGCTACTCCTCCCCTCCCCTTCCCCTAGGCCTTTGCACTGGGAAGGGACAGAGGTAGGGGTCGGGTGTGGACCAGGGGGTGAAGGGCGGGGCGGACAGTGCGCATTCTTGCTGACAAGGGCTGGGTAGGGAGCAGGGCCCGGGGCGGGGTTGGGGCGGGGGGAAGAAGTTGAAGCTGGAGGCAGAGTAAGTTGGGTGAGAGAGCGAACGCTGCGGGGGTCTGCGGCGGAGAGGAACGGGAGCCGCAGAGGGGATGCCCTGGTCCCTGAGCCCACAGCATCCGGGAGCGACGCGCAGTAGCGCGGACCCGGCCCTGGGTACCGGGGCGGAGTCGGGAGAGGCTCCGAGGGCCCGTGCGCGGAAAAGCTGCAGCGGGGCGCGCGGGTGCGCAGCTCCCTGCAAGCCCTCCCTTCCCCTCTCCCCTCCCGGAGGCGGCGGGGCGGGCGGGCGCGGTTCCGGGGGTGGGCGGGCTGGGCGGGGAGGAGGCGGGGCCGCCGCACTGGCTTTTCCCAGCCCCTCCCGGCCGCAGCCAGAGTGAGCGGAGCCTCGGCCAGCTCCGGGGGGCGGGCGCTGGAGCGCAGCGCCGCGCAGCCCTATCCGACCGCGGAGCGGACTCAACTGGAAGCCGAGCGCTGCCGCGGGAGGCGGGCGACGGGGGCAGGTGCGGCGGCTGCGCCATGGACGGGCCGCGCCTGCTGCTGCTGCTGCTGCTGCTGCTCCTGGGGGTGAGTGCTAGCTGGAGGGCAGCCCGCGCCCTTTCCCCGGACTGGAACCACAATGGGTTCAGGTTTCCCCGAGGGAAAAGAGAACGGAGCGTTGGGGTCCCAGATCCGGGGGGGGGGGATGGCGGGAGAGGAGCTCCGCTGCCAGGATCCACGGAGGAGCTTCTAGGGTTCTCAGAGCGCAGGGGCGACCCTGAGACCAAGGGTAGAGATGCGGGGAGAGGCGCGCACGGATGTGGGTCCTCAGGTACCGCGGAGGGTGCGTATGGAGGAGCTGAGAGGGGGTCTCTCGGATGCCTTGGTTCTGAAGAGGGTGTTTGGATGCTGGGATCTCGAGGCGACTTTCCTCCTGAGCATCTTGATCTCCTGAGGATCGTGGGACGGAAGCCAGGCTGAAGGAAGAGGAATGGGACGGCGATCAGAGATATGAGGGGCGAGCGGGGCTGGGGCGGGGAACCGGAGACAAGGAGATAGAACAATGGGGGAGGCCGGAGCGATTGGAGGCAGAGGGGACCGGGCATCGGACAATGAGGGCCAGCCAGACAATGGGGGGGAGGGGCGTGGGAGGGAGAGCTTCGGGGAGCGGGGGTCGGCTGAAGAGAGAGAAGTGGGCTAGGGAGGGCAGAAAAAGGACGACAGCGAGGGAGAGAGAGAGAGAGAGAGATGCCAGCGAAATGAAAGAGGGCGGAGAGGGAGAGCGGACCCCGAAGTGGTCGGGGCCACGCCTGCCCGCCGACGGACAGTGGGACGAGCAGACGGAGCAGAGGGACGGACGTTTCCCGCGCCTGCCGCGCGCCCTTTCTCGCGGCCTCGCCCAGTCTGGGAACTGCGGCTGGGGATCCGAGGCTGGGAAGGGAGCGCCCACTTCGCCGGGGCGAACCCGCTCCCTGCCTCCCCCGCGACCGGCGGGCCCCTCCGACGCGCTCATCCTCGTGGTTTGAAAACGCGCCGGGGACCGGAAGGGATGGAGAGGGCATCGTGCGACCCGGTCTGGCCGCAGCCAAGTCTCAGGGCGCAGAGCGCCGGGACTCGCGAGGCGGGGACGGTCCGGGCGGCGCGCAGCCCGGGGTCGCGGCAGCCGAGGCGGCCCGCAGGGGGCGCTGAGAGGCGAGGGCTGTGCCATCCGCAGCCGCCGGCGCGACTGGGGCTGCGCGCCGCGCTCCCACGCGGACCCCCCATTAAGTTAAGCCACCCGAGCGCGGCGCCCGCAGTTCTCACGGGTCCAGCGCCCAGGCGGGTCGGGATTCAGCCCGCGCCCCCCACCCCCACCCCAACTTTCGGTGGAAGACGCCGGGCACCGAACGGGACAGAGGCGGTCGGACGCCGCGGATTCCGCCTCCGCAGGGGACTGCGGGTCCTCTTAAGCATCTAAGTCCGTCTCATAGTCCCAAGATATTCAGGAGATGTGACCTGTGTGGGCCCAGGAACGGAGTGCCACACGGAGTTTGGCAATGAAAGAGGTGCCCTCACTCTCCCTGCCATCTTCATTTCTCCTCTGAGCGTTGCATCCCCAACCCCCATTTTACAGGAAGGAAAACCGAGGCTCTGAGAGTTTAAACGACTTGGCCAAGATCCCAAAGCAAGTTAAACCAGAGCGCTGGCCAGGCTGTCCCACACCTGATTCCCAGCGCGGTACTCCCCATACCCCGTAGGGGGGCAGCCCAGCGTCCTAGCGCGGTACGAGAGCCGCGCTTCTCGGCGAGGGGCGGGCTGGACACCATCCCCTGAGTCAGGCGGGCGGTGGAATGTGGGGGCTGGGGTGGGCAGAGAGCCTCTCGGGACGCTGGCCCCATCCCCGGAGCTCAGCCCCCTGGAGCTGTCAGTACCTGTGGCTTCTCCGGACATTTGGGAGTGACTGCGGGCACATTCGCAGACCAACGCGGCGGGTTAGAGATGCTTCTTGACTGGGGAGGTGGGACGGGGCGGGCCAGTAGGGCGGCCCCCGGAGCGGCGAGGGCGTGGGCTCCGGACCGGGGCTGGGGAGAGTGTCCCCCCAGTAGAGAAGAGGCGAGGGAAGAGGGGCGCTGCGCGCGGAGGGCTTGGGGGCTCGGGAAGGTGGACCCCGCGCAGAGCCGGCCGCCCGCAGCCCCTGCGGCTCTTGCCTCCGCCTCGCCGCGGGGTTGCTGTCTGCGGGCTGCCTCTGCGCAGCGCGGCGGTCCGAGTTTCTTCCTGGGCCGCGGCGGGAGAGTGCTGAAACCAGAGCGCGTCCCGGCCGCTCTGCTGGCGGGCCGCGCCGGTAATGGAGGCACTTTGTCATTCAGACGTCTGTAACCGGAGCCGCCGGGCTGGCTAATGCGCCTAATAGGGATGCAACGAGCGCCGCAAATGGGAGGACAGGAGCGGCCGGACGAAGGAGGCGGCTCCGGGATGGAAGGGGTCCCCACCCTCCCCGTACCAGCCGGGGCCCATTCACGCGCCTAGATTCTTCCCGGGGAGGGGGGGGGTTGTGCAGGGTGGGGAGGTGGGAATAATAAAATTGGCTGAGCGCCTACTCTGTGTCACGCACTGCCCTGGGTAATTTCTCTTGTGTCATGTAATCCTTATAAGATCCCCGCAGCGTAAATCTAGTTATTCCCATTTTACAGTTGAGGGAGTTGAACCTCCCAGACTTTCGGGGCATGAAAGCAGGCTTCCCCCAGGCCCTGCGTGGTGGCGCCCTTGTTGGAACCCAGAATGCTCGGCTTGGAGTTTATTCTGTCCTCTGTGTCCCAGTCTCATTCCGCCCGCCCCCCCACCCCGCCCCGCCCCCCCACCCCGCCCCGCCCCAGCCTTCTAGATCACGGAGGGACAGGAGGACCTTAACCATCACTAGCTCTGAATATGAGATCTGTGTCCTATGTCCTCGGCGCCACAAATTTGGAACTGAGCCCCTTCCCCCCACCCATAGTCCCCAGGCCCCTCTCAAAGTCTTCATGCAGCCTCATCCTCAGTAATTAGCTTGTCTCCTACCCCAAATTCAACCGCTACCTAAAGGAGTAAAGCGCATGTGCCAGAGTCTCCACGGGTTTGCATTAACCTCAAAAGACCCTCCACGTATTTGAAAACTCTCCAATCCCATGGCGGTGGCTAATGGCTCCATTCACCTAAGGAACCCCTTTGCCGAAACTGTTTTGAGTGCTTAGGGCTCATCACACTGAAGCATTCATATAGTTTCAAATTCGTTCAACCGAATTTTGGTGTGTTTTCCATTTTGTCCAATTTTTTAAAAATTTTAAGGTTTTTAAAAGTCAGTTCATCTAAGAGTGATTCCACCTTCGTTTTTTGAAATCCTGGAAATGGCAAAAGGATTGCAAACACTTTCAAAAATGGGATGAAATCAAATTGGAAATGAGCAAGTGTAATAAATGTAGATTTCAGGCACATGGGTCTATCATTTTGGTAAATTGGTCATTTTGGAGCGATAAGCCTGAATCCGTGTCATCCCTCCTTGCTTCCCAAGATTGCCCCGCCCTGGACCAATAGAGGGTGTGGCAGGGGCCAGGCATTAAGCCACTTAGCAGAATTGTCTCTGTGAGCCTCAGTTTCCCCAGCTATCAGAGAGGAGATGAAGGCGGTCCCTCAAGTCCTTCCCCCTCAGCATCTCGGCTTCTGGAGTAGCTGTGTGGAGTGATATCTCCTCTCCCTCGTGCGACTGTGACTTCCCCGGGGGGATCGGGGACCATGTCTCGTTGGAAACACTTAGTTCAATGCTGAGCAAATAGTTGTCAACTAGTAAATAGTTGTTCATTAGTTAACTGCGAGGAGAGCAATTCCCATTCTCCTTTCCCCGTGCCCTCTTCAGACTCTTCCTGGTGGGTCATTCTTCATGCCTAGCCTGCCCCTCCTCTAGGTAGTTTCCTCTCTTTGGGCCCAACTACTGCTCGCCCCTCCTACTGCCTCCCAGCCAGGCTCAGCAGCTCAGCCTGAGACAAGACACTTCCTTGATAACTAACATTTATTGAACTTCTACTCTACACCGGACAGGCTTGCCTAACATTACTTCATGTAATTTTCATGGCAACCCTGAGCAGTAAATATTACTGACCCAACGTTTTAGGTGGGAAAATGCAGGCTTAGAGAGACTGGGAATTGCCCCAAAGTAGCAGACTGTTAGGTAGCCGGTATGGGCTGTTTTGAAATAGGACACATAAAACAAGCACAGGAAACACATGGATGCTAATTATGTGGCCTGGAGTCCAAATGCAGGACTCGGGAGAAGAGAGAGGTAGGCAGTCTGCAGCGGGGAGAGCAGGCCTCGAGGAAGAGGGGCATGCAGAGGCCGCTCGAGTGCCATGGACAGACCCCCTCAGCTCTCCGCAGCCCGGCTCTCTGCTGACCTCGACCAACTGGAATCCAGCCAAAAGCCACAAAAGAGGCAAGAAAGACCTTGGGAAAGAAAACAGAGGGATCCTGAAGTGTATAAACACCTTCTTCATTTGATGCCTACAGCAATCTAATGAGGCACATACTGTCACCATTACCTAAAGATGAAGAGACTGAGGCACAGAGAGATTTCAACCTGTCCCCGGTCACCCAGCTCTAAGCCATGAGCCAGAGCCATGGAGGCCGTGAGGAGGAAGGCAGTATAGGGTCACACTTTTTACTCAGACAATGGCCCCCTCCTGGTTCAGATCCTACCAACACTCACGATGTACACCTTCCTACCCAGGCTAGTTACATGGTTTCTACAGATTCAATTTGACCTAATGAGTTAGAATGGTAGGGGCGGGGCTGCTCAGGTCACACTCTGGTAGCAGCGAAAATTGGCAACTGATATCTTGACAGGAAGCAGGGAGACAGAAACACTAAAAAAAAAAAAAAAAAAGCTGATGGAAGAACTCAGAGACAAAAGTGTGGTGATTTGGGATAAAGAACACAAAGGGCTTCACTGCACTGACGCCCAGAATAATCACTGAGTCCCTGAGTCACGGGGAAACCGTGAAGGTATGTTCTGGAATCAGAAGGGTACAGCCATCTTGGTTAAAATGGAAATTCAGCTATCCAGAAAGTCACCCCCATCCCACAATCCCCTGCCCAGAGTTCTAGGTAATTGAGGTCGTATTGTATTTTCACATTCTGAAATCCCATAAATATACAGGTTGGGTACCAGGCGCTGGGGCAACCACAGTCCTGCCCTCCAAGAGCTGACAGTCCAGTGGGGGACATCGCAGCGCTCAGACCAGATGAGCTCAGTAAACTGAGGGAACATGTCACAGGGCCACTCAGCCTCATCTGGGAGGCGTGGGGGCCACAGGATCACTTCCTTGAAGAAGTGACATTTAAGCATGAACCCTCAAGGATGAAAAGAAATCCAAACAGACCCTTCTGGAATCTCGCTCTCCCTCCTAGGGGAAAGCCTGCATCTGGGACACCCCCCGCCCCCACCCCTCCTGGTTTCTGGTCCGCAGATGTTCCCAGACCTGTGTTCCTACCACCTGGGAGGAGATGGTGGCAAATACCCAAGGACCCCCTCCTATGCTGCCTGCACCGCACCCTCCCTGCTGGTCTCCTGAGGACCACCAGCTGCCTCCTAGACTGATCCAACCTGTCCATCACCCCCCTCCCACAAAACCCTGGTTAGACCTCAGGGTATTTTAAAGGACTGGAGGGAAAGGGAGTATTTTTGGCTATGATCTCGCCAATGTGGAAGCAGAGGAATGTCCAAAAGGACCTTTAATACTCCCCTTTAGTCCCATGACCCCAGAGCCCATGCTTCCTCTTGGTACCAAATGGGAGCTGCATGGTCTGAGGCCAGGGAAACAGGCTTTGGAGTTTTATTAGACACGAAGAATTTTTTTTTTAGGAATAGAAACATAAAGCATCTGCCAGCACTCCCCCGCCCCCCCAGGGAATCTGGTGCTAAATCATTCCATCCATGAGCAAAGATGCCTCGGTGGCAGGAATCTGACTCCCCTTTCCCTTGGTTCCAGCGCTGTTCCCACCGGCTGCATGGGGGCAGGGAGAGGAGAGGGCGGGTGGCTGGAAATCCGACTCTGGATTTCTTGGAAAATCCAGAGCTGGGCTGCTGAGTGGTGAGCTGGGCTGCTGGGTGGTGAGAGGTGCCACTTCATCATCGCTAACAGGCGCCCCTCTCTCCCTGCTTGGTGCCAGACTCTTGCCAATTGGCCGGTTCTTTGCTCTGGCCCTGAGTGGTCTCTCTCTCCGTGGGTGAGGAGAGGTGAGGACTCAGAGAGGGAAAGCAGAGCAGGTCAGAACTCCAAGGCAGCATCAGGATTCGAACCCAAGACCCCAGCCCTCTGCCTTCTGTTCCTGGGTACAGACACTGCTCATTGAATATTTGATATGTGGAATGGTAGAATTAAGGACCTGGAGAAGGGCCCTACTAGCCTTTGCTAGAAAAAGGCGTCCCTCTGGGTAGACAGAGCCCTGCAGCTGTGCCTCCCGCTAAGTGGCATTTGGGCCAGAGTTTAGCTTCCAGTTGCCCCCTTGGCGGGGAGCCCTGTGCTCCCCCATGGGAGCCGTAACCTGTACTGGCCAGAGGCCGCCTTCCCCATGTGGTGTGTCCTCGGGATTCCAGGAGTTGCCGTAACCCCAAGATGAACTCTGTAGAATGTCAGCATCCGGGGCTCTGACCTCACACCCCTGGCAGCCTGCAGGGGCGCCCTGTCCCCCACTGCCTTTCTTCCCGCCAGCTTTGATGTGCCTGATGCCTCCGTGCTGAGCTCATCCTGGCCCAGGTGGTTCCAATAGAAGGCTTTAGGAGGGGGTGTTTGATCTCTTGGAAGACACCCCCTCTCGCTTCTCTTGCCATTCTGACCTTCTGATCTATCCCCCCGCCCAGGTGTCCCTCGGAAGTGCCAAGGAGGCATGTCCCACGGGCCTGTACACCCACAGTGGGGAGTGCTGCAAAGCCTGCAACCTGGGTGAGGGCGTGGCCCGGCCTTGTGGAGCCAACCAGACCGTGTGTGAGCCCTGCCTGGACAGTGAGTACAGGGGGGCGGCCAGGGGAGTGGCGAGGGGGGAAGGGAGGGCTGGGAGGCGCACGCCCACTGGAAGCCTGACAAGGGCTCTGCCTCCTAGCAGGGTCTCCTGCCCACCTCTGTTTGGGCACCGGAATGGGTCCGACCCAGTAGAGGAGGCGAGAAGGGAAGCTGAGAATGGTTGAGGGAAGTCAGCAGAGGGAGGAGGAGGACCTCATGAGGAGGGATCCCCAGGGGGTGCCCCTTCCCAGCTCCCAGGTGGAGAGGCCTGGTAGAAGAATGTGGCCAGGTGGGAGGAGTAGCTGAGGCTAAGACAGCTAAAAATATCATCTGCACTGTAAAATCAATGGCTGCCACTTACCCTCAGCGTGTTTAGGGGGAGGGGAAGAGGATCAAGTCCTGGCTGCCCTGGAAACTGACCTTGGGGGATCCTGGGAGGGTGTGGCTACCCTTCCCCCCAAGGCCAGCTGTTCCCCAGCTCTGACCAAGGAAGCAGGGCTTTCCAGAAGTAGCAGGAGTGGAGGCAGTCCTCACTGTGGGGTGGTGTCAGAGGGGAGAGGGGCCTGTCCCTCAGGAAGGGGAGAGAACCCCATCCTCTGGGGCTGCTGCTAAGGGATTCAGAAGGATGGCAGGTCTGGGGACTGAATTCTGTGTGCTTTTGACCCAGGACTCTGTATCCCTGCTGGATGTCCCTAGCCTCAGTTGCTGCCTTCAGGCCACGGGCTCAGTGCTCTTTTCTGCCCAGAAACCTTTCCTCCCGGCCTAGAGTCACATCCTGCCTTCTACCTGGCATGCACCGCCTACCTGGAGGGCCGGTGGGAACCATACCAGATTCTTCTTTAATCATGATAGGAACAAGGGCATAGGAACTGGGAACTCTTTTTTTTTTTTTTTTTTAAGATTTATTTATTTATTTGAGAGAGAGAGAGAGAAAACACGGAGGGCGGTAGAGGGAGAGAAAGAGAGAGAGAATCCTAAACAGACTCCCCACTTGAGCGCAGAGCCCGACCCGGGGCTCTATCCCACAACCCTGAGATCATGACCCGAGCAGAAACCAAGAGTCCGACGCTTAACCAACTGAGCCATCCAGGTGTCCCAGGAACTGGGAACTCTGAACCCAACTGCCTAGTCTGACCTCTGGATTCCTCTCTACCACCCGCCCCCCCACAGCCTATCTACCAGACAACCCCAACTCCTTGGTGTTCCCAGACACACAGTTTTCCTCTCTCTGTGCCTGTGGATCCTGTAACTCCATCCCGCAGCAGGAAAGGCCTGGGCCTAGATGGCGAGGCTAGATAGACATCCTGTAATGCCTTTGCCACCTTGCCATCTGGCCACCTGCCCTGGCCTACCAGGGTTTCCATCCCAGCAGGGTTGGCCAACCATCGGCTGTGCTGGAACCTCCCGAGTTTGCCTCTCTCATTTCCTAGACTCCTGCCTAGGTCCTCTCTGGCCTGGACCCTAAGTGTCCCAGGATGGGTACCCACTCTCTTCTGTCAAAGCAAGAGGTGGGGTAGAGGAGCCTGAGGGAGAGAGTCTCTGGCATCTTCCGAGAAAGGGAGACAGGAGCGGGAGACAGGAGCTGGAGACCAGCTGGGAGGTGGTGGCGGGAGGCATCCCTCCATTTGCTCCCTCTGGTTCCCCTCCCCACCTCCAGCTGCGTTAACAGGCCGCCTTTATAAGCTCACTTTATGGCATGGAGACCCCAGCGGACTTTCCCTCTATCCTCAAAACGTTTCCACAAGGAAACCCATTAAGCTCCTGCCTTCATTCTCTGCCAAAAAAGACCACATTTTTCCCACTCCCTAAAACTGTCTCCCAGGAGTTTTCTACTAATTTTCTGTATTTTTCCCATGGGCAGCCCCCCCCCCATTTTCTCTCCCCCTCCAGTGTGACTAAACCCACCCCCCTGCCACATGCCAACCAGATCGAATCCTCCTGTTTGTATAAACTGGATGTCCTGCCTTGGCTGTTTGTGTTTGGAAGTCCTTTCTGCAGACTATATCCCTGTGACCCAAGTTCACCCGACTTGCCGTAGCCCACCCCAGGGGGCCCAACCTTTGCAGGATCCCTGCGGTGTGTCTAGTGATTTATGGTAGAATTTCATTCCTTCCTCACCACAACCCTGTGAGTGGAGAAATTATTCTCGGTTTTACAGAGGAAGAAAAAAAAGCTCAAAGTAAAACACCCAGAGTCACACAGCTAATAAGTGGTGGAAGCAGGTTTTGGGTCCGGGTTGACCCCGTCCCTGGGAAGAGAGACACAGGGGTTCGTTCCTCTGCCAGAACTGGCTTGAAACTGGTCTCCCTCCAGGCCCACCCCGGTCTTGTCTTCTCTTCCCCCTCGGTTGCTTTCCTTTTCATTTCTCTCTGCTTTTCTTTCTTTGCATCTGCTTCTCCACCGACACCCCAAAGATAATGTGCTCCATCTGGTCTCTCGATTCCTTTAGAGAAGGTTGAGATCAGAAGGCACGGCCGGCCTCGATTTCCCTCCAGTGGGATCCCAGTCTTTACTTCTGCTTCCACATTCTGACACTCCCTCCTTCCCTGGTTCCCGGTTCCTAAATCCTGCTCTTTCTGCCCTTGGAGCAAGGGTACATCCTCTTGGATTCCGACTGGCACAGAGTTCTGCGCCTGGGCGGGTAGGGATGGAGAAGATTTGGCTCTGTGCCTTCCCCCTCCTTGCACAGGGAGGAGAGGACCCTGGCATCCGCTGGCGTTCTTCCCCTTATTAGATTAGACCTCACATCCATTAAGAGAGCATGAGTCAAGAGTGAGCTTGGAAATCTCCCCTTTGTGCCATTGGGAAGGGCAGAGGACTATATATAGAGGCAAGTCCTTCTTGCTTTCTAGCTCCAATCCCTCCTGCTGTTACCTCGTCAGGAAGTCCATCCCCACCCTCAAGAGCCAAGCCCTTCAGCAGCGTGGGGTAGCGCCACGGGTGGGAAATTCCGCGGTCTAACCCTGGTCAGGCCACACCTGGGCCCCCACCTGCGCGGAGATGACGAGAAGGGCGGCGGAGGCCAGAGGCTCCCTCGTGAAGGCCCGCCCGAGCCTGGGTTGGGTTCGCAGCCCAGCTCTGGCCGTGGGGGAGGGCTGGGAGGGAACCACGCTCAGATTATTCCTTAATCATGCTGGGAACAAGGGTACCGGACTGGGAACTCTCTAAGAGAATTTGCCAAGAAATGTACTGGCCTCCAGCTGGGTTACTCCTCGAAGCCTCACAGTCAGTGCTTCCAGGCCTGGGGCACCGGGGGCTCCTGGCCCCCTGCCCCCTTCCCCGCGTGGGCTGCCAGGAGCGCTCACAGAGCGCGGATCCCGACGGATGAGGGTCCCCGCGGGGCGCTCCCAGCCTCTGCGTCCCAGGTTGTCCCGGTTGCGGGGGCGGGGGGGGGGGTTGGGGCGGGGCGACCTTCCAGGTCCCGCGGCTGCCCGGCGCGTCCATCTGCCCCCAGGCGTGACCTTCTCGGACGTGGTGAGCGCCACCGAGCCGTGCAAGCCGTGCACCGAGTGCGTGGGCCTGCAGAGCATGTCGGCGCCGTGCGTGGAGGCGGACGACGCCGTGTGCCGCTGCGCCTACGGCTACTACCAGGACGAGGCGACCGGCCGCTGCGAGGCGTGCCGCGTGTGCGAGGCGGGCTCGGGCCTCGTGTTCTCGTGCCAGGACAGGCAGAACACCGTGTGCGAGGAGTGTCCCGACGGCACGTACTCGGACGAGGCCAACCACGTGGACCCGTGCCTGCCCTGCACCGTGTGCGAGGACACGGAGCGCCAGCTGCGCGAGTGCACGCGCTGGGCCGACGCAGAGTGCGAGGGTGAGCGCGCCGCGCCGAGGGCGCCCCCTGGGGGCCGGGGGCAGCGGGGGCGGGGAATGGGGGGGCTCGCGGGCCTCTAGCCAGCCGCCACCCTCCTTGAAACCCCAGGCCCAAAGGACCCTTCTCACTGTGTCCTTCCGTGGGCTGCGTGTTTGGAAAGCCCCCATCCTCCTCCCAGGCCGCAGCTACGACACTCCAACTCAGTTTCTAGGGCTTTCTTCCCCGGTCGGGACATGTTTGATCCTTGAGCAGGCTCTCTGGACTGGAGAAAGGGGCTTGAGGACCCTCAGGAGTTGGGGCCCTTTGGCTCGGAGGCCTGGTCTGGGTCCACAGTGGTTTATGGCTCTAGGACCCGGGAGGGAATCTGCCCCGTCACTCTCCGAGTGATGGTAGGGTGGTCACTCTCGTCTCTGGACCTCAGTTTCCTCATTGGTCATACAGTTTTCAGGGATGTCGTGGGTTAGGAAAGGTGGCTGGCCCGCTTTCACTGGTGGTATCTGGGGGCGGGGTCAACAGTGGTTGCTACCCTTTCGCCAAGGATGGCGTTCGACTCCGGGAATGCTAAGGAGGTGGTGGGGGCAGAGAAAGAAGAGCAGCAGCAGGCCCAGGGCTCAGGAGCCCAAGGAAGAGACCGGCACACATGGAGGGCTGTCGGCCCCAGGGTGGGTAGGAACTGGGTGCACTCAGCTTAGCTGGGCATGGGGCCCCAAGGAGTGCACCCAGTTCCTGGGATGGGAGGAGGAAGCAGGATGGCAGCCAGGACAGAACTCTTTTGGATTCTGGTTGGTGACATCCATCTGCAGGGAGGCAAGTGGGCTTTTCTATTGCAGGGAGAGGGTGACAGTGCCTTTACTTTCTGTCCATCCCCCTGTGGCTGGGCCCCTACTTAGCTACTTCCCTTTGGGACATCTCCCTCAGGGTGCCCTCACTCTGAGCAACCAGTGCCTCCTTCAGGGAGCCCCAAGTTTGCCGGAAAAAGACGGCCCTTGCCCCAGTCTGATGAGGTAGACGTTGTCCCAGTTCCCAGGAGGTCCCCCATTCTGGGGGATGCAGCACAGCCTCTGCCCCCAGTCAATCCCCAGTCAAATGGGGGAGACAGATCCCCCCCCATGCCGTGGGGAGCATGCCTGCCTTCCACACCCCGTGATCCCTGGCTCAGGGAGCTCAGGCTGGGGAGAGTGGTTAAACTGGGCTGAGGCCAGGTATGTATGTGAAGCCTCCTGCATGGGGGTTGGGAGGGGTGGGAGGAGTGGGGCCCAGAACATAGTGGTTCCGGTGGTGATTGCCCTCAGCCCGGAGACAGGCAAGTGGCGTCAGGCACAGGGCAGAGCGGGGAGGGAGTTTCAGCAGCTGTCAGCGGGCAGGCGGGCAGCACAGTTCACGGGCAAGTCTGGACCAGCCAGTGGGGGGACTTAGTCAGGGGCGCGGTTGGAGCAAAGAAAGGTGGCAGCTGGGGGAGGGGTGGGCCCTGCCTTTTGAGGCGTTCACAGATTGCTTTCAGATACCACCCTACTTTCCCAGCCGTCCTGAAGGAAGAGGGTACCCTGAGGGTTGTGTTTATCCCTGCCCATCTTCCGTTCTCTGCTCTAGCCTCTGAAGGGTTAAATGTCAGCTCTGGAACAGAGGGAACACTTCAGGAAATGGAAGAATTGGATGCGTGGTTTGGTTGCCCCTCCCCTTCCAGTCCATTGTACTTCCTTGCATATACATTTCAGGTGTCAACATGGTGACTCACTCAGCCTTGGGGCAGAAGGATACCCCCCCTCTCCACTCCTCGCCCCAGTGAAATTTGGGTTTAGGAATAACCTGGTTCCTTTTTCACCCCCGAGTCTGACAGCTCCCATTCCGGAAATGGCTGTCAGGACTCGCCAAGGGCTTAGGGGGTTGGAATGCCGGTGGACATGGCCACATCTGGATCTCATCCTGCTGTACCCCCCTCCTAGCCCTGCCCCAGAGGGGACTGGAGAGATGAGGAGAAAGTGCCCTGGACAGCCCTGTCTTCAGCCTGATCTGTCCCTTAATGTCCACTGTCAAACTTTCCCATTTGAGGTTTCTGGAATCTCTGTGATGGCCAACACCCCCCAACATACCTTCAGCCTCTGGGGTGGGGGGGTCCTAGCCAGTTGTATCTCAGCCTCAGGGCTCAGACGGCACCAGCAGCTTGCCCAGTCCCCTAGCAGGGCAAGAGAAGACCCCAGTCCAACACCCTGTCTGGGGCCCCATTCCCACCCTACCCCTGCCCCCCAGGACTGAGCGGGGGGAGGGGAAGGTGGGGCAACAGATGGCAGCCCCCTCCCTAGTGCCAGCCAGATGGATTCCAGATTCACATCTGGGGGCCTTACCCCTCAGAAGGTGCTGAGAATGGGGGCCTTTGAATCATCTTCGTCTTGAGCCAAGGAGGGCCGGGAGACCAGGGGGCAGCTTTCACTCCGACTTGGGTGGGCAAACTGGGGGTGGGGTAGGGCGGAGCTAGGGAGCAAGGTGCCTCCCCTTCACCCCATTGGCATGTCCTGTCTGCTTCCCCTCCCTGCCCCAGGCGTGGGAAGTGAGGACAGATGGGCTAGGCAACTTTGCCCGGACAGGTACCCCCAGGCCGTCTGGAGCCCACAGCCCCTGGGACTGCCCCTGGCTGGGTGGCAAGATGGAAAATCCCATCCAGTGGTGCCAGGTCCCCTGTTGGGGAGGCTGGCAGTGCCCACTGGCATAAAAGGGCCTCGGTGGGTGGCAAGGCATAGTCCTACCTGCCTCCCCACCTCAGGCAGCAGGCAGTACCTTCTTTGGAGGCCTTCTCCCCACCAACAGTCTGCTCCCGCCCCGGGAGGGTTGGGGCTGCCCAACACTGTCTTCTCTGGGTGGTGAGATCAGATGGTTTGGTTTGGGGGCCACACAGGGCAGGAAACGGAGGCTGGCCACTGGCTAAAGGACTGGCTGGAGGGAAGCCAGCCAGCTGGGCACCCCCTACCCTGTCTGAGCTGAGAGCTAGGACATTGGAGAACAGAAGGGAGGCTGAGGGCCAGTTCTTGGAGAGGTGGTTTGCGGGGACGTATCTCTCTGTCCAGACCTGAGTTTCCTCATCCTTCCCTAGGACCGGGATGACTGGGGCCATTGGGACAAACTGGGACGAGGGAGGTTACAACATTTTCCCAGAGTGATTCCAGCTAGAGGCCTCCTGGTGCCCACTCTCTCTTCTTTGTGTGTTTGCCTCCATGCCAGGCTTCTGGGTACCCAGGGAGGCAGAATAGAGTCCTAGGGTCACAGCTGCACCTCAGATGGAAGGGAGCTTAGAGACCATCTCTCTTAGCATCCCCATTCAATAGATGGGAAATTGAGATCTTGAGAGGTGAAGGGACTGGTCCAGGGTCACACAGTCCGTCGGTGACAGAGCCGAAGGGGACCCAGGCCCTTGCTCTCCTCCACCATCATGACTCATACACACAATCCCGGCCCTCACCCCCGTGTGTAACGGCCTGGCACGGGGAAGGGCCTGGGGAAGAAGTGCTGGAGCAGGGCTGGGTGGGGAGTGGGCCCTCATTCCTGTAGCTCCTTCCCCCAGAGATCCCTGGCCGTTGGATTACCCGGTCCACACCCTCGGAAGGCTCGGACAGCACTGCCCCCAGCACGGAGGAGCCCGAGGGACCTCCAGAGCAAGATGTCATAGCCAGCACAGTGGCAGATGTGGTGACCACAGTGATGGGCAGCTCTCAGCCCGTAGTGACCCGAGGCACCACTGACAACCTCATCCCTGTCTACTGCTCCATCCTGGCCGCTGTGGTTGTGGGCCTAGTGGCCTACATTGCCTTCAAGAGGTGAGAGGGGGGCACAGGGGACAGAGAGCAGGGCCTTTGCTCTCAAGGAGGGCTTTACTGTGAACTTGACCTGAAAATACACACACTTTTTAGAGTCAACCCCAAACCACGCTCATCCTCACCATCAGCTGCCCCATGCCAGGGGGGGATGGTCCCTGTCCTGCTCTGGCACCAGCACCTCCCCACTCCCATGAAACTGCTCCCCTCCCTGACTGCACACCCCCAGCTGCACACTGAGCTTTCTTTACCAGCCACATGTGCCCTCATCCCTCAAACCCCACTGACCCCCAGTGACCTATGTGTGCATGTGTCCCTTCCCATGTCACATTGGGGATGTTGTGGCACCCACATCCAGAAATTCAGGATGTGCAAGAACTTCTGGAGAGTGTTTTACTTATTTATTTATTTTTGAAGATTTTACTTATTTATATGAGAGGGGAGAGCATGAGCTAGGGAGGAGCAGAAGGGGAGGGAGAGGGAGGGAGAGAATCTCAAGCAGACTCCATGCGGAGGTTGGAGCCCCATGTGGTGCTCCATCTCACAACCCTGAGATCATGACCTGAGCCGAAACCAAGGGTCAGACGCTCAACGGACTGAGCCACCCAGGCGCCCCTGGAAAGTGTTTTAAATGTTTCAATGCATTTTCCATTCTTAAAAAGAAAATCTTCAAGGTAATACATGTTTGTTTGGGTAAATGCAAACAAGACCAATGTCTTATAAAGCAAAAAGTAAAAGCCCTCTTTTATCTCCCCAAATCCTACCTCTCTCCTCATTGGAATCTCTTTGGAATGGATCCTTTCCAGCCATTTTCTGTGCCTTTATAAACACATGTACCTAAAACTTTTTATAGTTATACGTAAACACACAGAGGGTTTTTTTGTTTGTTTGTTTTTTGTTTTTTGAAAGCATCTATGGGATCCCACTACCCACAATCTACAACTTACCTATTCACTTAATCCCCCTTGGGAGAGCTTTCCCCAGGACATACGGATTATCTGATTGTTTGTAACTGCTCACTCAGGATATGGATGGATCCTAATTTATTTGAACAGTCTTTTGATGCACATTTAATTTGTTTTCAGCTTTTGCTTATTGCTAATAATAGCAGAGGAAATCTTTGTGTATATCCCTGCACACATGTGGGAGTAGTTTAGCAGGGTAGACTGGGAACAGTGGAATTCCTGAGAAATCACTGGACGCACCACTCATTCCGTGAACATTCGCTGAACCTTTGCGCCGTGCACCGAGCCCAGGGAGCCGGTGGGCCCCCACGGTGCTTTCAGTGCAGGCCAGGGGCGGGCGGAGATGGACGGAAAGAAGAACCATAGGTGCTCTGGTGGGGGGCTATGCTTGGGCACCTGCCAGGGCCCCAGCCCCGACACATCAGAGCACAGATCCCTTAGGCACCTGGCTGGTGCGGGCCCTCACCCCCTGAGACTGGGCCCGTCCTCTGGTACCAGGTGGAACAGTTGCAAACAGAACAAGCAAGGAGCCAACAGCCGGCCCACAAACCAGACGCCGCCGCCGGAGGGAGAAAAGCTCCACAGTGACAGTGGCATCTCTGTGGACAGCCAGAGCCTGCATGACCAGCAGCCCCACACGCAGACAGCCGCAGGCCAGGGTGAGCAGGGAGGCGGGGGCAGGGGGGCCTGAGGTAGGGAGGAAATGAGTGATTAAGGGTAGACCATAGGAAGGACTGCCGGAGGGGCTGGCTCACAGGGAACGGGGCCTCTGTGTAGGACAGGAGAAGCAGGGTGCGTGAACGGGGAGGAGAGGTCTTTCCAGTGGAGAGGCGTGGGAGAGGGGGAGCTTTGACAAATTGGAGCATCCAGACTCATCAAGCTAATTGTCCCCCCCTAGGGCTAATTACTCCCCAAAGTGGCTGCAATTAGCCTCCTGCTCCGGACTTCTGGGGAGCAAGTAGTTAATTATGGACTCTAATTAGTGGCCCAGAGCCCAGCTCCAGGATACTTGCTGTGGTGGAGTCTGGGGCTAGGTCCTGTCCCTCCCCTGTCTTGCCTAATTGCTGTGGGGCGGGGACGGGGTGAGATGGGGGGATAGTGCTAGAGCTGTGGGTCAGAGGAAATGTGAGTCAGCACCCCCAGGCCCCCCTACAGCCCTGCCCCCCATCCACGACCTCATCTTGACGATCCCTCTGCCTCCAGGCCCTTGGGGTTTACTCACCCTGGGAGGAGAAATGCCTCAGCCTGTCTTTGGTCTTACCTGGGGCCCCCATGCCCACTGTAGGGAAAAGGGGGTCGGGAGGGTAGCCTCTGACGCCCCCTGGGTTCTTGGCAGCCCTCAAGGGGGATGGAGGTCTCTACAGCAGTCTGCCACCGGCCAAGCGGGAGGAGGTGGAGAAGCTGCTCAATGGCTCTGCGGGGGACACCTGGCGGCACCTGGCAGGCGAGCTGGGCTACCAGCCTGAGCACATAGACTCCTTCACCCACGAGGCCTGCCCCGTCCGAGCCCTGCTTGCCAGCTGGGCCGCCCAGGACAGCGCAACGCTCGACGCCCTTCTGGCTGCCCTGCGCCGCATCCAGCGAGCTGACATCGTCGAGAGCCTGTGTAGCGAGTCCACGGCCACGTCCCCGGTGTGAGCCACCCCCTGGAGCCCCTGCCCTGCCCCCACATTCTGACGGCTGATGCTCCAGCCACCCCCACGGGCCAGCGTCAGAGCTGAGCTCCAGGCAGGGCTGCGGAGCCCGGGCCCCTCCACCGCAGCCCTGTCCCTGCTCCCGTGTGGCCCCATCGCTTCTGATCGCTCTCTCCAGCGCCAGAGGGCCCCTGCTGCCTCTCCCACCCCGCCCCTAACATCACATCTCACATCTGCTCCCTTCTCCGGCACTTCTAGGTGGGCCAGCCCCTCCCATCTCAGCAGGTGTCAGGCCTGGGGGGCTGACACCAAGGATGGTGTTGGGGACGATGACAAAGCCCCAGAGATTCGAAGGGAGAGACTGAGGAACCAGAGCCATGGGCTCTACACTGTGAACTTGGGGAATGAGGGACCATCATTGTGGCCTACGTCCTCCCTCAGCGCCCTCACCCTCCTCTCTGGCCCAAGATGAAGACCACCAGAGGCTTGTCAGAGCTGAAAGGGGGTTTTGAAGTCTAGTCCACCCCCTTGTTTTACATATAGGAGAGTCAGGCCCAGAGAGAGGGAGTGACTTGCCCAAAGCCACCCAGCAATGGGGAGGACAAATGTGGGCTGCCCCCCAACTCTCTGAATTAGGGAGTACAGGCCTCAGGTTTGCTTGAGGACAAGGAGCCAGGGGGGTGGGGGGAGGGGATAGGCAACCCTCTGGGAAATGTCTCGAAGCCAAATCCAGTGTGCCCTCCACCATCTCCAGGCCTGTCCAGCCCCTGTGGAGATGGGAGGCTTTTGCCCAAGGTCTGGTGCACTGATCCGTCATGGTCAGAGATGGACTTGACTGAGCATGGATTAGGGTTTGTGGAAAGGGGTGCCACTTCCCTTTGCCAGTCCCGCTCAGGCACGTCAGTGTGGCACCCGTGGTGTGGCCCGGCCTGCAGGTGCCCTCCATCCCGGCACAGACTCAGAGCCAACACAGGCAGTATCTTCTAGAGCCAGCCCTGGGGTCAGGGACTAAGGGCCCCGGACCCGCGACAAACAGATCCACAGACACACAGACACAGAAGATGAGAAATCCTGCTTTTCTCCCCAAGTTCTTTCTCTCGGGCTGGGCCCGGATCCTGCCCAGGGCGGCTGGCAGAGAAGCACTGAAGGGATTTGAACTCAGCTTGCCCTCTTCCCTCGCCCCTGGTTTGGCGGGCCAAGCTTGGCTGAGGCTTGAGCTGGCGTCTGGCTTCCGAGGGCCTGCATGTGGAGGAATGCTCCCCCTCCCCCGCCCCCGTCCTTCCTTTTCCTGCGAGCACAGGGTTTGGCTGGGCTCCGATGGTCGCAGTGAAGAAAGGCGGACCAGTGTGGGAATGTAGCAAGGAGGAACCAAGGGAGACTGTGGCCTGCAGAGGGCCTCTCCCAAATTCAGAGGACCCTTTGAAGGACCGTTTGTTCCCTAGCTTGGTGCCAGAAAGGGGCCGTGAGGTCTCATGAGGTCCTTCCTGGCATGTTCTGTTTTGCTTGACATTGGAATGAGTGTGGCGCCCCTCTATTTAGCATGACCAAGCCCCGAGCCCCAAGCAGGGTGTGCGCTGATGGCCACCCCCTCCCCTGCCCAGGGTTCTCCCAGCTCCGTGTAAGGGACTGGGAGCATTGTAAGTAGATGGCATTTCTGTGACCTCCATCTGATGAGGGGAGGAAACTCACCTGCTGGCCCCTTACCTGTGCACCTGGAGAGCAGGACAGGATCTGAGTGTATTTATTTTCCTCCCCAGCAGTTGGGGAGGGGGTTGGGGTACCACAAGTATGTTTTAGCATGTGTTTGGTTCTGGGGCCCCTATCGCCTCCCTTTGGGCGGAGATGAAACCCTTTTGGCCCTCCAGCTGGGGGCTGTGAGCTCCAGACTCCCTGTCACCTCCCCCTTGCATCCTGTGTAATCATTTCTTGGGCCTTCCTAAAACCTACACATAAAACATAAATGACAAATATTATAATAGCAAAGAAAGAAAACCGGTGCAAAGAGATTTTCTGGAAACACACATGAATGGAGCCAGTGGGGGTTGTGTGTGGGGGGGGGCGCAGGTATAATTTCTAATTTGGTGAGTTCCTGTCCTATTGTTTCTTCACCCGCCCCCCACAAAATGGGGAGTGTTCACAGAAATCGAGCAAATCCACATGTGTAGCCATGAAGTTAAGTGGGATACGGAAGGAGTGGGGGCCCTCTGCCCCCAGGTTTTGGAGAGGAAAAGTGAAAATGACCACGCAGGAAGCCGGCCAGCTGTGAACTTGACCAGATGTCAGAAGTGAAACTGACCACAGGGGAGCCAGAGGCTTGCTAGGAGGGCCGGGTCACAACCCCGCAGCTCCCAGCCACCCACATGGCCTGGGAGACGCGCACTCACACCCACACACATGCACACACACGGGGGCTGGCTCCAGATGGCCTGGCAGGAGCCTGGCTGCTTGGCCTGCAATGAGGCAGGCCCCTCCCTGGCGGCTCTCTGGGGGCAGGTTCCAACCCCGGCTCCTGGCAGCCTGGCTTTGAGCCCCGCCTGGCCCGGGAGCCGTAGGGTTCCTGGCCCCCAGCCTGTGCCCGTCTCCGAGGCTGGTCCGGCAGCTGGTCCAGAGCAGCTCAGCCTCTGCTGGTCACTTGGCCGGGTCTTCTAGGGGGGCTGGCTTGTGGCTGCTGCGGAAGGCCATGGGAGGCTTGCTCTTCCCGGAAAGAACAGCAAACAAACCTTCCTGCTCTCAGGATCATGGCAGGGGCCAGTCGGGCCCCAGCCAAGGGTTAGGCATAAGGCAGAGGGGGAGCTGCCTGTCATCTCCCACCCCCCATGTCCGTGAGGGCTGTGAGGAGTACATGTGGAGGGGGGTGATTCAGAGATCCGGTACTTGGATAATCCCCAGTGTGACGAGGGAGACAGACTCTGTCTTGAGGGAGCCTCCTGTCTGCTGGAGAAAACACAGTCCCAGACTTTGGGTACCTCTAATCTGATGAGGGAGGTACAATTCCTGCCCTAAGACAGCCCCCATTCTGATGGGGGGAAATGTCTCTAATTTGGTGGGGGAGAGCCAGATACTGCTTGTGGGAATAAGGGACACACACTCCAGCGATCCCGAGGGGGGCTGAACAGCAGACAGGCCTTACTAGGGGTGAGGGGTGCCCCAGCCCAGGCCCACCCCTACCAGGGGTTAGGGAAGATTTGTCAGAAAAGGGACATTGACGCTGAGCCCTTACTGATGAGTGGAGTCAACAGGCTGGGGGAGGAGAGTATTCCTGGCAGAGGACGCAGCTCAGCAAAGGCCCCAAAGAGAGAGACAGCAGAGCACACAGGAGGCCTGGGGAGGCTCCTGTGCCTGGAGCCCAGAGAGAGCAGAAGGTCGGTGGGGCCAGATGGGGAAGGGCTTACAAAGAGACAGGCTAAGGGGTCTGGACTACATTCTGAGAACACTGGGGAGCCATTGAGGGGTTTTGAGCAGGGGGGTGCCACAGACAGCCTTCATCTGAGAAAGCCCTCGCTCTGGGGGCGGTTGGGAGGGTGGGGTGCGGCGGGAGAGGTGGGGAGGTGCAAGTCAGTGGCGGCCCGAAGTATAGGAAGCCGCAGCAATGGTGAGAATAGGCCATTTGGAAAAGCTCCTCAGAGCACGCAGAATTGGGAAGGGGGGCCAGGAGTGGCTGATACTGGTCTAGGGTCCCTGGGGGGGAGCAGAGCAGAGAGCCTTATAGCCGTCATGCCACAGATTCGCACCCCCTCCCCCAGCACATTGTGGAGAAACCCTCTCTGCCTTCCTTCAGCCTAAGCTCCACACCTCCTTCTCTAACTCCACCATAAGGGCAAAAATGGTTATCAGCTTCCCATCTGTAACCCTCAGAGGGTTGCATGAGGCCCCTGCCAACTCCTGCACACTCACTGCTTTGCTCCAGCCATCTTCATCCTCTTTTGCGTTCCCCCACACCAGCCCTCTTACAATTCTTCAAGCTTCAATGTTCCCTTTGGCCACAGGACCTTTGCACATGCTGTCCTTTCTGTCTGGAACACGTCCTCCTTCTTTCCCAAGTGCTTCCTTGGGAAGATCTCACCATACTCTAGACACAAATCAGGTTTCTTGATTCCACGTCCGAGGTCATCATGTTCCACTCTTTTTCTTTGCAATCAGGGACAATTTGAGTGATTATTTGATTACTGTAAATGCCAGGAATCCGGAGACAGGGTCTGGTTTTGCTCACCTTCTAATCTTCAGCACCTGGCCTGGCATAGAGCTGGCACCCAACAAAAATTTGTGGAATAAATGAGTGAATGTGCTCTCAAACAGCACTGTCCAATAGAAATATTGGATATACATGATTTTTAATTTTCTAGTAGCCACATTACAAGAGTGAAAAGGAGCAGGTGAGATGAACTTCATATTTTAGCCCAATATAGACAAAGGATTCTTTCTTTTTTTTTTTTTAAAAGATTTTATTTATTTATTTGAGAGAGAGAGAATGAGAGACAGAGAGCACGAGAGGGAAGAGGGTCAGAGGGAGAAGCAGACTCCCTGCCGAGCAGGGAGCCCGATGCGGGACTCGATCCCGGGACTCCAGGATCATGACCTGAGCCGAAGGCAGTCGCTTAACCAACTGAGCCACCCAGGCGCCCAACAAAGGATTATTTCAACATATAATCAATACTTTTAAATTATTAATGAAATATGTTAAAAATTTTTTCCTACTAAGTTTTCAAAATTCACTGTGTATTTTATTCTCACAGCACATTTCAATCTGGACTAGCCCCATTTCAAGTGCTTATAGCTGCATGTAGCTGGTGGCCATCACACTGGGCAGCCAGCTCTAGGGAGTCATACCTCCCAGAGTAGGGACTCATTCGGAGCCCCTAGCAGGGTCAGAGGACCCATAGAGGCTGCCTTGCTTCTTCCCATGTCATCAGTCCCCTTATAGTTCTATAGTTCTCACTTCCCACCCCCACCCCCATCCCCATGGCCTCTCTCTGCTCAGGCTGGGAAACCTCCCTTTATCTCTTTCATTCTCTAGGCTAGAGGATGAGACGCTTCATCTTTGCCCGCCCATCAGGGCCCCTTGTCTTCCCCTAGTGCCTCCCTTCCCTCTTTCATCCAGTTCAGTGAAGCTGAGATGAGACTGGAAGCATGTGAAAGGCCTCTTCATCCATTGAGGAGGGTTGTGGCAGGGCCCCTGAGCCTGGAGCCCAGTGCTCCAGGGGGCTGGGCCAGAGTTGGGGTCAGGAGAAGACATTTCCCATGATGCTCCAGGCTGGGGGGGGGTTCTGCTGACCATATGCCTGGGGGAGGTGGTTCCTCAGATAATGCAAAGCAGATTCCTCCCCAGCTTTGTGGCAGCTGTGGGCAGAAGGCCAGGGGACAAAACTGAGCCCCCAGGCTTCGGGGCGCAGGAGAACAGAGACAAAGGGGGCACCTTCGGCCTCCTGCCCCCTCTTTTGGGACTACCCCCAACACCCCTGCCCTCATGCCGACCCTCCCAGCTATGCCAGGCTCCCTGCTCTGGGCCCTGCCCCAGGCTCCAGAGCCCTCTCCAGCCCCAGCAAAGTCCCCCACTTCTCAGTACATGACCTTGATGGTCTCTGGGGCAATGCCCTCATTCATTCGGGGACCCAATATTCTTCCCAAGGGAGACGTTGAGAGGGAGGCCCTCTTCATCCCCA